GCAAGAGGAGGCAAAACTGTGACCCAAATCACTAATTTTTGCTTTTGCTTCCCTTCTTCTCAGGTGCTATTTACTAGATAAGATTGGGAGACATTAGACTACTTCTTAAATTTAGTGGACACATCATTCTACCTCTCAACTACTACTTTATCCTTAATGTTTTGCTCCTTTCATATAGGCAAAGATTCAAGAAACCAGGAAGATGAGCTGTCATAATTTTCACATTTTATTGTATTTCATGCCTTTCTCTCCCACTAGACTTGATATTCCATGAGGGCAGAGGCCATGTTATATTCACTACTAGATCCCAAGTGCCTAGTGTAGTAACTCAATAGCTACTTGTTGAATGAATGAGTAAACCTGATTTATTATTTTGTAATACATTTCAAACTGTTTTAAATTTCTTTTTCTCTTTATTAGATATGCAACCATTGTCTCCAATTTCTGTCCATGAACGCTACAGTTCTCCTACGGCAGGAAGTGCTAAGAGAAGACTTTTTGGAGAGGACCCCCCAAAGGAAATGCTTACAGAAAAGATCATAACAGAAGGAACAAAATTGAAAATTGCTCCTTCTTCTAGCATTACTGCTGAAAATATATCAATTTTACCTGGTCAAACTCTTCTAACAATGGCCACAGCCACAGTAACAGGGACAACAGGACATCAAGTTACAATTCCATTGCATGGTAACATTTTAAGGCATTTGTTTTATATTTTTTCTGGATTGAATAAAAATTTAAGAAATGTCTTACTATATTAGGTCACATGGTCTAACTCATTATTTTTCTTGACTCTGTACTTTTTTCTTTTTTTAATAGATTCGATTTTTTAGAACAGTTTTAGGTACACAGCAAAATTCAGAGGAAGGTACAGATGTTTCCCATATACTCCTCCTCCCATGCACATATATCTCACACCAGAGTGCTACATTTGTTTCAATCCGTGAACCTATATTGACACATCATTATCACCCAAAGCCCACAGTTTACATACGGATTTACTCTTGGTGTTGGGTATGGATTTTGACAATGTATTTAATAAAATGACATGTATCTACCATTATAGCATCATACAAAGTAGTAATTTCACTGCCCTAAAAATCTTCTTATGCTCCACCCTTTGTTTTGTTTTTAATCTATCCTGTTTTTTGAATCTTCAAATTTTATAAATTCCCTATCCTCTTTGTTAGTACTTGTTTTCTTATCTCAGCTTTCCAAATTAGTGTACATTTCCTTAAGTGCTCAAAACAAAACAACATTTGCTTTTTCTCAGTAAATTCAAAGTATTAAAACATCACAGGCACATACAAAATAGAGAACAAAATTTGCTTGTTAAAGTATCAAAACAAAACAGCATATTCTTGTTTCAGGGAAGAAATAGAAAATAAGAATTCACTCATAACCTATAATAGAATTACCATTTTGTAACCTCCCTCTCTTTCTCTCTATATTCCTATGCTTATACACACAGACTTGTGTGTGTGTGTGTGTGTGTGTATAAAATTGACAAACTTCCTAGAACTCTCCTAGAATTTCCAGCTTATTTCTAAAACTGAGAACTCTTGGTTGTACTTTCAGGTGTTTCAAATGATGCTGGAGAGATCACACTGATACCTATCTCCATGAATACAACTCAGGAGTCCAAAGTCAAGAGTCCTGTATCACTTACTGCTCAGTCATTGATTGGTGCTTCTCCAAAACAGACCCATCTGACTAAAGCACAAGAGGTACATCCAACTGGAATAAGCAAGCCAAAGAGAACTGGGTCCTTAGCACTGTTTTACAGAAAGGTATGTGTTTTCATAGCATTAGGCAGCACGTCAGTCTC